TTCTTGGGGAAGAGGCACGTACAAACAAGTTTTCTGAAGATATCAGTCGTTCTATCGGTTGATACGGCAATCAACCTAGCTGATTTCACACGTTATGCCAGCCACGCACCACATCCCGAGGTGGGCGGTCGTAGCGGGGCCAGGCGGCGATAGCGCATAGTACGTGCCCTGGGCCTTATTACGGCGCCGTTTGGGATTCTGAGCATGGTAACGTCTCTGTGGGTGCGTAGCCATGCACAAAGACGACAAAAGGGATTGGTTTGGTCCACTCAAGCCTGACTCGTGCCTTTAATGTATTGAACTTATGGTGGCAAAGTGGCCTTTGCTCGCTCCGCCGCCGCGACGTCACCAGCTCGCTGACGCGTCCGCGCCGCCGGTGAGCTTTTCCACGGGTCCTCTTTCGGGAGTTCGCCTACACATCCTTAGGGGCGTTTCCCCTTCTTCGACAATTGACCTTATCATAAAATCCTGAGTAAAGCGAAAGTACACAGGAGACTAGAAATGTTGACTTAGAAGAGCGAATACACACAAAATAGAAATGTGCAAAAACGCTTTAATTAACAGTCATTTTCTATTCGATAACTTTGCGGTACATTTGTCGGTTTTCCTGAGTGCAAACGAACTTGATTCCTTCGATCTGAAATGCGGATTAGGAATTGTAGGTTATTTCTTTCGCTAATTAAAGAGTATAGTGCTTGAATTTCTACTCTTAAGCAATGTTTGGCGTTTCTTTTCAAAGAGCAGGTGTAGGTGTTCGAGTGTTTACTCGCCAAAGTCATACGCTAAGCTTAGTGCTAGTGCTGATATCAGACCGGCAAAATAATGGGAAAACTACCCAACCAGTCAAGTAGACGGATTGTTTATAGGCAGAATTCACAACGAAAAGTTAGCTCATTGGAAATAAGGGTAGAGGTGGTCAGTGGAGCAGGGATGAAGAAGAAACCATTTGAAACGGCCCGAAACCCGAGAAATGGGACCCCTTCCTTGCCCGTTGACTCTCATCGCTGTGCCCTCTTCAACACTACGCTCTCTGCTATCTAATCACTCGCCACGTATAGACCTGCGGCGAGTGATTAGATAGTCGGTGGGCGTACCCCGCCAACGCGCCAAGAGTGAGCCATGCTAGATCGCCGAGGTCAAATCTTTCGCTGCCAATTGCGCGTCGGTCAGCACCCTCAGGAGGTCCGCCTGTCTCCCAACTATGCAATTTTCCCCTTCTTTGACCTTCGTTCCAATCGTGAGTTCCTGCTCCAAATGATAAGTTCCGGTAATCTAGGTGAAAAATTTTGGATCAGTGAAATTAAATTGGATCTTGAAAAAAGAAGAATCCACTAGAGGGGACTTTGGTTCTGTTTTCCTGCAAGCCACCATGCCCATGACACGATGGACCTCTGTGAAAATAGACAAGTTGTTAGGCATATGGTCCCACCACTAAAGAATCAGACAGTGCGTTGCTTTCTAAAATGAATTAGCTGACGGCTTCATAAGCTGCCTTTATCGCTCGAGACTACTGTTTGAGATACGCGATGGGATGCAGAACTGAACTCGGATTGTAAACAATGACCATGCATGAATGTTATGTTACGGTAATTTAGCGCTAGAATGATATTTGATGCCAGTGATGTTGCTGAAATATAATAGACCAGATTAGTCCCCCGTCAACCTGCCGGGACCTTCCTTCACTGCTTAAACTTTACGTCTTTCGCTGTGGTCCCTTCCACCAACACCTCGCGTAGGTGACGCGTATGCTACAGAAAAGAGTTTCGTATAGTGGAGTTTATCGCAAGTTTATAATCATAAGTGACGGTAGATTTTCGCCTCCCTTCCTCCTCCCTTCCTCCCCTCTCTCCACTGCCCTCCAGCTGCCACTGCAGCACCATGTGGAATGAACGGAAGTGTGCTAAGCAGGTGTTTATATAGCCCTAAGAGTGTTATCACAACTATCCTGCTACAAAACATTGATATCTCAAATCCTGTAAGCTACCCGATTTGTTAGCGGTTTGTTTATCCCATGAGCTTCCTTCTCACTCACTTCATTTTGCGGACGGACACACATACATACATACATACACATACAGACACAAAGTTAGCGTATGCTTATAAAATAGAAAGATACCAGATTTTTCCTCGGCGACCGTCGAAATCTTTCTTCCCTGCGTAAGCTTCGCGTTCCTCCTGCTCCCACTTATCCTCCCTTCCCCCACTGCTGTTCATCCGCGACTGCACCACCTTGCTGAGTGGCCGGAAGTGTGCTACGTAGGTGTTTGTATAGCAGTTGGGGCGCTATCACAATCGTGCATTGCAAAACATTGATAGCGGAAGCCTGCGAGCTACCCAGATTTGTTAGCGGTTTGTTTATTCCATGAGCTGCCTTATCACTCACTTCATTTTGCGGACGGACAGACAGACAAACTTACATACATACGCACAAACAAACCGACACACCAAGGTTGCGGTCTATACAATGAAGAGATACATATGGTAGATGGTCATTCTTTACTTCTTTTTTTGAGTATTTCAATGACGGCTTAATCACGTAAATCGTGTAGCACATGATATACCACACTACAACATCATCTAGGCGTTACATATGGTCGTTGGCTTGATGCCAACTGGATGCCAATGGACAAACACATTAGAAGCGAACTTTTTCTTGTTACCTTGCCCCTCCGAGGAGATTTTCAACAGGAAAAATGAAAATTCCATTTTCCGGTTTTTTGATTGCTAATTTTATTATGTTTTTCTCACCACCACACCATCAACCTTGTTTTCTCAAACAAACTCAAACCAAAAACACATCTGGCGATTGCACGAAATTGTCCGGGAAGCGGTATCAGAAAGATTTGTCGTTTTTGCTCCCGAGTAATCCCGTTTTATAATAAAATACAGTTGTGACATTTAAAAGAGTGTGAGGAAATGTGAATTTGCGAAAAACATCAAATTCGTCGAAAACCAACACAAAGTGAAATGCATGGTATTGGCCAAAGCAAGCGGCGAAAAATTTCTTGATCAAACCTACTTACCCCAACGTATAGCGTGATTCTTTGAAAGGGGCAGAAGTAATTAGTCAGGAGGGTTGAGAATTGAGAGTGATTGTAGTTGCAATAACAATATGATATAGGTAATTGCACAAGTAATGAGCCTTTCAGCGCGCCACTGATTTGATTTTTCCTTGGATTGGGCGGCAGTCTGATTGCTTCCCTACCCTAATTTCATTTCTGCTCCTTAGACTTTCTAGTAGCCGATTTATAAATCCTTTCCTTAAGCACTACTTTTTTTAGAGAACCCCTCCTCCACAGGAGGTGAGTTTCCGCGTTCGTTCTGGCTTACTAATGCACACCTTCACCCAACTTCCAAAACCTCTAGGCCGTTTTTTTTAAGCGAATTTGCAACGCATGCTCATAGTGCCGCTCATATCGATGCACGCCACAACCACTGTGGGCGAGGCTCCGCTTGGTTGATGTATGTTGTGATTTTCTCGAGATATGGTACACCCATCCCACACCTGACCCGGTCCCTCCAGGTGAATCTCTAGAACGTAGGGATTTTCGTGACGGACAGACACACAGAGGGAAGGAGAAAGCGCACAATATATAGTAGGTATATGCTTGTAAATATTTCCTTGAACCGAAAATGAAGATAAGCCGTTTGGACAGAGCGAGAACCCACGGCGTACGCTCCGCCGCGCGGGGGGGGGGGGGAGCCTGAGCGCCGCGCGCGAGCGTGTGTCCATCCTCCACCTCCTATATGAACGGCGCTTAGTACAGTTGGCGAGTTTGCTCGACGTGTTCTCTCTTCGTTGAGAGCGCAGAGAAAAAGGAGGAGCGAGACACGTCTTAACGCGGTCAATGCGTCACGCATTGTACTCGCATGGAATGGCACTTTGAATGAATACCAGCCAGTGGAGCTGGCCGGACTTAGAAGAACTTTTCATGCGCGGACAACATACAAGCAGTCACCCAGCTCATCGAGAGGGTGTCACGAGTACCACCTTCCCTTGGTTCCTTGTTTTCGTGGATTACAAGAAAGGCATTCGACTCAGTCGAAGTCAACGCTGTTTTGAATGCCCTTACGCGAGCCGGAGTTCTCCTCCCTGTATATATCCACATGCTTGAACAATGTTTTACGAATCCATCAACAAACATCCAGCTATTCGACCGCAAGATGAAAATCCCATTTGAAAAAAGGAGTAAGACAAGGAGGACATCTCCAAAAACTGTTTACGGCTGCGCTGCAGTATGCTATGTCTACGTTGACTGGGAAGACAAAGGATACCTCATCAATGGAAAAAGAATCAATAATCTCCGCTTCGCTGATGATATATTTTTAGTTTCCACTAACACTGCTGAAAGAGATGATCAACGAACTCAAGGTGAGGGTCTGAAGATTGGATTGGAAATGAATATGTCCAAAACGCAAATGATGGTGAACCAGAGGAGTGATGTGGAAGAAAGAAATTGGCAGGAAGAGCTCTGCAAAGTGTAAAATCCTACGTATATCTGAGAAGGGAGCTGAACATGACAAACAATACCATTCCTGAAATATACCACAGAAAACGTGCAGCATGGGCAGCTTTCGGATCGATTCGCGAAGTAACAGATTAGGTCAATGATCCGGAACCAAGAGCTTCGATATTCTGCGCGTCAGTATTGCCGGCAATGTGCTACGTAACTGATACTTGGCCCAACAACACGACAGTAGCTAGCCAGCAATGGATGACTGGTCGAAGTGGCCATATGTAAAGAGACCTACACCGTTGGATGCGTTTTTGGACGCTGATGTCGAATCTGCTTTCCAAATCTGCCAAACGATTTTCCGAATGGAGTTATGAAGGAAAGTAGTGCAGCGGTAGTAGTCCGGTTCACTTTCTGCGGTTCACTACAGACTGCACATGGAGCCCACAGAACTCTTGGCAGACGTTTTTGCAGCAAACAGGTGTGATATTCGTGTTCCGGAGATTAAAATACCCCTAGAGACAAGTTTGTAGCCAAATTTGAGATTTCGACCAAATTTCGAAATAGGCTGGGTGGGTATCTATCCATTCATCCATCAGCCTATTATCGAAGCCTACATAGCCTTGAAACGATATACGTTTTTTTTAGTTTCTGAAGAGTGTAAAGCAGTGTCTGGTTTCCTGTTAGCATGATTTCAACTCTCACATTTTATTATTTTCAAATTTAAAGGGTCGCCGTCGTCCAAAATAGATCAACCCTGGAACTACCGGCTATGGATATGTAGCATCGATGAGTGACTCGCCCACTTTTTTGAGATTAATTCAAAATCTCGAATTTTTCTAGAAATCGGCCCCAGGAGTTATTGGACTGCTTGAACACAGATCTCACATTCGTTCACTCAAAAACGGCTGAAGCGCGCTCCGTATACTGGCGCGCCTTAACCTTATGTAGTGGCATGCAAGTTAGGAAAAATTTCGAAGTTATCGACCTCAGACTCATTCAAAAGCAAGTAGGGCTGACCAATGATGAAGGAATCATGTTTCACTACTGCCAAACAGTCAGTCACAAAAATGCAAAATGGAAAACGAGGTGCGGATCCGAACCACTGACCCCGAAATCCCAAGACCACCACCTTAACCACTAGGCCACCAGCACTCGATGAGAAAGGCTCACTGCTTCGTTCACAAGCCGCTGCTGCTGAGGCCTCATTTCTCACTGTGTTAAACTGTGTGAGGGAACAAAAAACCTCCGTAACTCCGTTCAGCGAATCGTTTGGCAGATTTGGGAAGAAGATTCGAGATCAGCGTCCGAAACCACATACCATGATACTTGTCTCATTTCATATGGCCACTTCGACCCTTCATCCTTCCCTAGTAAGGCCCTGCAAACTGCACATCGTGCAAAAAGGTGTTTATTAAAGGTCAGCAGACGACAGCAATGGCAGCAAAGCATACGTAGCTAAGAAATGAAGGACGATCACGCTTGAAAGATCCGCTTCTTTACATGGCGCAGTTGAAGCATCGATGGGCCGGTCATTTACTTCGTCGCACTGATGACAGATGGAGTCTACGCGTGACGGAGTGGCTCCCAAGAGACAAAACGAGACCCTTAGGACGACCGCCAACTCGGTGGGCCGACTCTTTCAAAATTTTCAGAGAACGCGGCCTACATTGGATGCAAGTTGCCAAAAATCGGGCTATGTGGAAGAGCTGTGGTCCCCACTGAGAAGAACGCCAGCTGATGACCTATCAAAGTATCAAAGTGAAGTAAGTATTCTGACTCTTTTCCCTGCCAAAGGTTTTCCTGCCTTCTTCCATAGTGTTTCGATGACGCTCAGGACATGTGACTGAATTGGTCCGCTCCGTTAGAAGCACGCCATGCTGGCGAAACCACTCCTTCACAGTGAAGGTGCGATGCTTTTGGTCGCTCTATTGCTAGAAGGCGAACTCAGTCACGTGCAGTTGCCATACGTGTGGATACACAACACCTTCTAGAACCTATCTGATCCGTCTGCCTTCACCACTTCGCAAATCCTCTGCGGCGGTACAGCTTCTAGTACAGCACACCACAACCGAGCCTCCGCCGAGTGAAGATGGCAGCTGACAGGAGTACGCAAGCCCGTTCCATACTTTACACTTCACTGTTAGACCACTTCACAGAATTCCTGAGCGGTGAAGGCGACGGATGCAATTAGGTGCTTGAAGATGTTGATGACATGTAGATGATGTAGCAACTCCAGAAGGTTATCAAGTAGTATTGAATCTGTTCAAGGTTTTATATTATGCGGCAGATTGTTTTGTTGAATTGTAAGCTTTCTACAAGTAATTTGAAATTTACTTGGAATTTCGGTCATACGCGAGAATTTCTAGTGAAATTTTTTTTCTTTCTAAATTCTTTCTTCTATTCAACAATAATACACTTGCTTAGTTAGGAATAATAACCCCCAAAACATATCCAAAATTGAACTAGCAGAAATAAAGCTCTGGCCGGAAAAGCATTTGGGCGAATACTTTTGAGCGCTAGTAGTTATGAAAACATTTGTACTAGACAGTGACTCGGAGTATGGATTTACTAGTGGTCGAGGTTTTTTTGAATTTTCTTGGATAACTACTGACTGCAGCACTTATATCCACCTCGTGGATTAAAGCCTCGAGAATGCTCATTTGTTAGTCATAAATGTTACCTATGAATTTTTCAGAAAAAAAGAAAATTTTAGAAAGAGTGTTGCAGAACTTTCTTTCCAAAATAATAGAAGTAGTCCCTCTGAGTCGAAGTTCATTGCGTATTAGGATAGAGCAAAAACGCGCTTTCTAATGATATGCAACTCGTAGCAGTCTGCCGAAAATTTAGCCAGAAATAATGCCATGAAACTTGAACTATCGAAAACGGCCAGAACTTTCCTTACAACCTAATATATCAGAGATCATCAACGTACCGTGAATGGAATGTCTTTTGGATAGAATGTATTCTCGTACTTGCACCCCTTGAGCTGTGCATTACCCCTATTTCCACATACGACAAGGAATCCATCTGGCGTTGTCCATTCCTCTCCTGAAAGCAGGAATGGCTGCCTGAAGCATCAAAGAAGGATGGCTTTCTCAAAACAGTCCAATCCTTTAGCGCATATCATGCCGTCTGAGAGGAGTGTCCACGAATTGGACGAGGCGGTTGCGCACTTGATGAGAAGCGGTGATATCCAGGTCGGCGAATCATGCTGGAAAAAGCTTATCCTCTCAATTTCTATTAAGTGCAGCGGCCTCCATGCGCAGACTAATCAGACGGCTAGATATGGGCTGTATCAATGTTAAAGTATACAATATTTGCCACATAGCCATTCGTGGCGACGATAGTACAGTTAGCAGGCCGTAATAATCAGAGACACAACCCTGGAATATTCGTGTAAACGGTTTCCTTCGGTCTGTAGGATAGACCCCTAGAGGACAATCACAGATGTGGCATTCCCGTGCACGGAAATCACCCGACAAGAGCGCTAGGGCCTTGCAAAGTAAGCTGCAGCAGCTGCAATTTTTCTTTATCAGGCTGGTCTGGTATCCTCTCATCTGTTGCGCTCTCTCGCCTCATACTCTCCTCTCCGCGCTTAGTCTCTCATTGCCTTAGCAGCCGATTAGGAAGGTGAGTGAGCCCTCAACCTAAGCGTTTTTGACGGATTCTTTTCCTTTTTTCTTCACTGCCGGCCCACTTCGCACCGATACATTCGTATTCGTGTACAAGAACCACACCAATTTAATCACGGGGCATGCCTTCAAAACCACTGATGAAATGAGCGTCATACATCTACTTTGAATAGAACAATCGTTTCTCGCTGTTCATCAGATCTCTGCAAATTCTAGCAGCCTCCGCAAATCCATATAGCGCCATGTGGCTCTTACCAGGGAAGGCATTTTACTTCCCATGGAACTTTCGAATTGAGACCCAGATATATCGATAGAGCTTCAAACGCTGATTACAAATATGGAAACTAAAACCTGCCAAGGAAGTTGTGAGCAGTCAAAGTTGGCTAAAGTAAAGCATTGCATATGAACCGTGCTATGTTCCAGACTTTCAATGTCGCCGTTGAGTAGCAGTAATGTTATCTTTCCTGACTGAATTTGAGATCTTTCCGTAGATACCATTTTCTCAGTTTTGCTGATCCGTGACTAGGAACACCATTTTCTTCATGTGCACCAACTGTAGTGCAACACAGCCTGTTAGACTTGTGTCAGAGGGCATGATTCGTCGCGTCGCAGAAATCGCAAGTGCCCCATTCGAAGCGAGAGATTATGATAAAGTGTCTGTGCAGCGTGGAATATCATGCACCAGTGGAAGCAGTAGTCAGGGGCCAAAGGAAGCGAAATGTGGCGTTTTTGTGGCCAAAGGTGCGCTAGCTGCAGCGCCCTCGGCTTGCCATTCCTTTCTGTGCTCCGCCCCCAGCAGCAGCGTATTCGGTTATCATTTTAACACGTTGACGACAGGCTGACGCGCAAGCGCGTCAGAATTTTGCACCGCATTGGACATTCTGACGCGCATGCGCGTCAGCATCTTGGTACCCATTTTTCCGAGCATGTCCGACTTCTCCCGAAATTTTTTATCACTGTTATATCCTACTATATATAAGCGGCTAGCGTGTGTCTGTTGGTGTGTGTGTGTTTGACCGGAAATTCATAGCTCGAGTCACAGTAATGATAGCGCAGTGGTTCTTACATATGTTATAGGGGGTGGGATGGGGACACAAGTGGTACGTGATAGGAACTGATAACGACTGATAATAGCTGATAAGAGGGGCTAGAAAGCGAGCATCGCCAATTTCGTTTTGTCGTTCATATTGGTACTAGAGCGTCTATACTTACAAGTGTTATGTGGGGTGGTCCCGGGACATTGGTGGTACATGATTGGAAGCGATAGCAACTGATAAGGGCTGATAAGGCGCGTCAGAACGCAAAAGTCGTCGATTCCGTTACCTGGCTCGCGTTGACACCAGAGCAACCATACTTACAAGTGTTATGTGGGGTGGGACGGGGACATTGTTGGTGG